AAATGGAAATCAAACAACATAGAGAATTTATTTTGCTCCAGAAAGAGTGGTTCTCATCAAGAATGTAAAACATAGGGAATGTCGGAAAGGTTGTTGGGAAAAAAGAAACCCTTGCACATTATTGGTGAGCGTAACCACTAGTACAATTGCTATGGAAATCAGTATGGAGGTTCTTCAAACAAGTGAAAATAGACACTGCTCTGACCCTTATGCCTCTTCTGGGTAACTTCCTAAGGGAGTTAAAGACCTATTACGTTGGTATGCACACACTTACGTTAATAGCAACAGGCGTCATAACAGCTCAGTCTTGGTAGGGGTCTATGTGCCCATCAGAAAGTGAATGGTTGAGGAAAATACGGTATGTAAGCGTCTGCCAAGCAAAGCGCCCACACGTCAGCGGTTCATACTGACTAATGAATGTCCGGAGGCTCGTGGCCGTCATGTAGAGCGCTTGTGTTAATCTCATGATGCCTTAATAAGTGTAGTATGAAAATACATATACACGTTTTTCTTTTCCTGATTTTATTTTTGGTACAGGATCTCACTACGCAGCTCAGACTCCAAGTGATCCTCCTGTCTCAGCCTCCCCAGCGCTGGGATTATGAGTATGAGCTAATATGCCCGGACTCTGTGGCCGGCTCAGCCACGTGCCTGGGGGAGGGGCTAGTGTGGCCTATGGTGCCCGCGGATCAAACCCTGGCTCCTGCGCTTGCCAGGCAGGCGCTTGGTCCACTGAGCTATCTCACCGGTCCTTTCTTTTCCTGATTGTTGTGATCAGTATTTGCGAAAGAAAGAGATTTAAGTGAAGGCACAGACATTTACAAGATTAGTTGGATGATATCCAAGTAGAATCAAATGTAGAAGAGTACAAGAGATCTGCCTGGGTGCTAGGGAATCAGAGAGTCCAGGCTGAGACCTGGAGCCCACAGCTATGTCCTTTATGAGCTCGTTTACAGAGGCTGAGGGATCTGCCATAGCACGCTTAAGGTCTGAGCCACAAAGTGAAGAAGCCGGCTCTGGAAGCTGAAGAATCCTCCTGAAAGCCAGAAGACGATGCTCGCGACAAAGGTGAAGCAAGGGAATCATGGCAGCGATCCTGCAAAGAGAACAGCAGCTGTCTTTGGCGAAGGCAAAGACTGGCACTCAGCTGAAGCTCCTCCAAATAAAAACAGCCAGGGTAGGCCAAATAGCTCAGCTGATTAAAGTGCCTGCAAGCAGGTTCAGGGCTCAGGGATTCGATTCCCGGTCCTGCAGTGCCAGTCACTCCCCCCCATGCTGAGACAACAATTGAGACAGGGGGTGGTGGCGCTAATCCCAGCTCTTGGGAGGCTGTAAACAGGAGGATCACTATGAGTCCAATCTAGTAGTGAGACCCTGAACAACCTGTAGACTATTCTCTAAAAAAAAAAAGAAAGAAAGAAAGAAAGAACGAAAGAAAAGCAGCCAGATCGAAGCTTTTCCCAAGCCAGACAAACATTTATAATTTTCACTTTTCCCATCTCCAGTAAAGAGCAGATTTCTGATTTCCATTTTGCTGATTCTTCCAGGTTGCAAAGGAATCTGCCTGCGCAGACTCCCTTCTACCTTCTACAGGCTAAGGGACCCAGGAGGTCGTCAGGCACACTGCAGAAAACAGTGGCTGCAGGAACCTAGCTCGAATGCACACAGATGCCCATGTGCCCAGGAAAGAGAAAAGAGACACTGCTCAGGAAGGGTCAGACCTTGAGGTACAGCATTGCAGAGGGCCCACAGCGCTAGGACCAGCAGCCTCTGTAAAGCAAGTAGAGGATTACCAGGCTTCCTGGGAAAAGGGCTGAGGCATACGTGCTGGTTTTGGGGGACGCTGGTCCATGCTTTAGAGGCCAGTTGTAGTGTTCCTTGTGGGAGGAAGGAGCTGGTTTAGGCTGTAAAAAGCCAAGGGACTCTGCAGAAAGCCTGAGATAGAGTGCAGAGAAGATGAAGGGCTCAGAGTTGGAAATGCTCAGAAATCTAGACCTGGGGTCTTGCAGAAGGCCGCCTTGCAGTTAAAAATTCCCTAATTGAGAAACTTTTTAGCTTTATCACTCTGAAAAAACTCAAAAGTTCTACAACTTAATTGGCCAAAGAAGAAATAACCAAAAACCCTTTTTTTTGCTCTCTTCAAACTGATTGCTTAGGGACTCCCTGAATGTGAGCTAATTAAGAAGTGGTATCTCTGGGACAGAGTCTCCTCGGGATAAAGGAAAGGGGAGAAATGAAGATTAAAGTTACAGAGCCCCACTTTGCACAACACAGTTATGACTAGGCTTCTTCCTAAACTTTTACATGGGGACAGCTTCTTTACACCATGAGTAGGGACAGCAGAGGCTTGCATGGCTCAGTACTAGCCAGACAGGACTTGGTCTCAGCTAAGCCCAAAGAAAAATGGGAATTGGTGGTAAAGCCCCTCTACAATGGTGAGTCCCTTCTCCAGAGTTGTCTTCTGTGAAGGAGTGTATAGGAGGGCTCAGGATCGGCAGTTCAGGGCCTGATTGGCTTCCAGAATCAGGCAGTTGGAGCTGGGAGGGATCAATCAGGCTAAAGGAGCAGCAGAGTGAGCTGGCTCAGTCTCAGGTCCCTCCAGCATGGCACAGGGACCCTTCAGCAGTGCTCTGGTCCAACAATGGACACACACAGCTCTCTAACATAAATGACCTTCCTCTTACTTCTTCCTAATTTTTCTTGGATGACATTGTTATGTGTTACATTGAAATGTCCCTCCAAAGCCTCATAGAGTCATAGCTGGGACTTTTTCAGAATCTAAAGTGAGTGATGGATTCATGGTGCAATGCTAGGATTGAGGGTGCTAGAATTAAGGGTGATAGTGTTCAGGCTGGATGAGTCCTAAATCTGTCCACTGACTTGACGCTGACCTAATACCGGTGGCCTTGATGTAATATAAAGAATGGAAGGAGGCTTATCTTGCCCCTCTCCTGCTTGCTTCGCTACCTTCTATCTGTCATGAACTTTTTCTTCTTTGTAGTTCCCATCTGCCATGCCACCCCGCCTTGAGGCCAGGAGGGACACCTCTAAAAACCGTGAGCTAAATAAACCTTTATCCCTTTAATGCTGTAGGTGTCAGATATTTTGTCCCAGCAACAAGAGAAAAGTAACTAAGGCAGATGTGAATCCATAATTTTAAAATATCCATACATGTTTGTGTATGTAATAAACACATTTAGCATGGAGAATTGTTCCCTACACACACTGCATCTTGATCCTCTTTCCTTCCCCCTTTCCTGCCCTCCTTCATCTCTACCATCTCCAAATTTCCTTCTTATCTCTTCAAAGTCTATCTTACCATTTCCCAAGTTTTATTTTTTATTTTGCCTTTTTAAATTCTGTACACTTTGGGTTTCTCATATAAAAGAGGCCGTGTCATATTTAACCTACTTTTCTGACTTGTGGCACTCAGCATGTGGACCCAAGGTGAGCCCACCTTCCCACTACCCACATAGGGAACATCTTTCTTTCTCATTGTCCTGCATCTAGTGATGGTTGCCTCTAGTGGGGCACCAGGACACCAAGCTCTCCCACCAAGTGCATCCTTGAGTCCTGGTTTTCTATTAGTAAACTACCCATGGAGAAATGGGGAATGGGCTGCATTGGAAAGGGAAGGGAAGAAAAAAAGTGGTAATCTGGCATATGAAGCACAGCCCAGGAGATGAGAGCAGAGGTCTGGACTTGGTAGACTGGGCTGAGACACTGCACTTCATTCAGTCATATATCACAGCTCTATGAACTCATGACCCACCAAAATTATTTTTCAGCACTACTTCTTTGGCTCAAGAAAGAAATATAAAATTATATATTTATATTTTGTACCTTAGTATACAAGTGTGAAGAAGACATACTTTCTCTCATAGAATTTACTTAGCAATGTCACAGGTGAAACATAACGAAATTAAATGTCATAACTCTGCTTTGTTTTCTCTCTATGATCAATAAACTCCTTCATTATATATTACATTTACTTTCTTGTGGTGGTATTAGCCTTAGTTAAATTCTGCAGTGCAAGGAGTTTTGCTTGTTCAGTTCATGACTACATATATTTAGCTTTAAGCAAAGGAATGAAAGCAACCATTCGTCATAGGCTACTGGGTAATAATAGGAAGTGCTGCGGAGAGAACTCAAGCGTGCTCTCTGGCTCTGCTATGGCGCCAGGCAGAGTCCTCTGGAAAGAAGATGTTTGAGTGACAGGGTCAGGTGAGAGTGCGGGGCAGCCTCTCGCAGCTACTGCCTTAGCTCCAATCCCTGACTGTTCCAGCTACTGTCTTCCCTTCCTCCGAGCATTTCAAGGGCAACTGGAGTTAGAGAAGAGCAGAGCTTCGGGGAAGCATCCTATGGATCAGAGTTCTCAGGGAGAACTGTTGCTGATTCATAATATGGAGTTTTTGAGATATGGGAAGGGCAGGGTTGCTGCTTCCAGAGTCCCAGTTTCTTCACTGTCACCCCACTGGGAGTCTGCACTCCCAGGATGTTAAGTGCTGGGGGTCAAGGTTCCACCCTGTGCACAACCTCTAGAATTCTTTCATGTGCTCTGGTACTTTAATTTAGGAGAAAGTAGGACAAACCAAGGACCAGAAGTTCCTGACTGACACAATCTCAAACCTTGCCTATATGGAAGGATTTAGCCTTTACCCCTAAGAGAAGGCATGGGATGGAAAGGGTTGCATTGAAAAGGGAAGGGAAGGAAAGAGAAGGCAACATGAGTGGGGAAGAGGATAAAGAACATTTGCCTCACCCTGACAGGAAACAAGGTATTTTTACTCATTCCAAAGAACTAGCTTCTCATGAACTGAAAGCCTCATTTAAGGATCAAAGTGAAAATACTTAGCTCTACAGAATGCACAATACAGGGCATGCTACCGAACAACCAGGTTGGAAATAGTTCCTTTTAGTAATCTCTCTTTTTTTCTGATTTGAACTGGGTGGAATAAAGCTAATTCCTTTTTGATCTCAGTTTTCATGAGGAGCTGAAGCAAGAATGAAGTGATGGACAATTGCTCTAGTGCCCTGAATTCTGCCTGCTGGGCTTCTCTGGGTCTCAAGAACTGCGCCATGTTCTTTTTGCAATCTTCTTTTTCTTTGATTCAGTGACATTGCTGGGAAACACAGTGATCATCATGATTGTTTGTGCCGATAAACGTCTCCAGTCACCCATGTATTTCTTCCTAGGACACCTCTCTCTCTTAGAGATTCTGATCACATCTGTCATTGTGCCCATGATGCTTTGGGGTCTGCTGCTCCCTGGGGCCCTGACAATATCTCTGGGTGGATGTGTTGCCCAACTCTTCCTGTACCTCGCTCTGGGGACCACCGAGTTTGCATTGATTGCAGTAATGGCTGTGGATCATTACATGGCTGTGTGTAACCCTTTGAGGTACAGCATCATTATGAACAACCGCACCTGCATTTCAGTGGTCATCATGTCCTGGGCTTTTGGGTTCTTTTCTGAAATCTGGCCAGTCTATGCCACCTTTCAGTTTACTTTCTGCAAATCAAATCTGTTAAACCATTTTTACTGTGACCGAGGACAGTTACTGAGACTATCATGCGATGAGACTTTCTTCACAGAGTTCGTTCTTTTTCTAATGGCTGTTTTTATTATTATTGGCTCCTTGATTCCTACGATTGTGTCCTATGCTTACATCACTTCTACCATCCTCAAGATCCCCTCAGCTTCGGGCCAGAGGAAAGCCTTCTCCACCTGTGCCTCCCACTTCACATTTGTTGTGATTGGTTTTGGCAGCTGCTTGTTCCTCTATGTGAAGCCCAGGCAAACACAGGCAGCTGAGTACAACAGGGTGGCATCACTGCTGGTTTCCGTGGTGACACCTTTCCTGAATCCTTTCATCTTTACTCTCCGGAACGAGAAAGTCAAGGAAGCCCTCCGTGATGGAGTGAAACACTGCTGTCAGTTCCTTAAAGGTTAGCTCTTCAAATTGGTCAAGCAATGGCCGTGACTCATCTGCATGGCTGACACTGACAAACTGCAGTACAGGGTTTCAGGATATATTCTGAGGGGATTTGACTGACCTTGGCAGATACAGAAGTTACGTTTCTTGTTATATAGGTATTGCTTTATCTTGGTCTTAACCATCCAGCAGAAAAATATAACGAGGTATGAGAAGTAAAGCCATATTAATATGCTGAGCTGTAAAAGGCTCAAGTCAACAACTTCTGACATTGCCAGTCATGTGGATAATCCACTACTATTATGGACTACTGGATTATATTGGATTATTTTGCTGAATTCATGAACCTACAATATTTGAATGGCAATGGAATACCTATCTCTGACAAAACTAAACAAAAAAGGGGATATAAATGAAGGACCATTTTGTGTCTGTATATCCAAAATAGTTAGGATGGATAGACAGCTCTTAGCTCAATGAGAAGAAAGATTTGTACTAACAGTGTTTGGATAGGATATCATGTTTGCATCTTGTACTATAAATAACTACTATGAAGACAACAATTTGCAATGTATTAATTAGTGTAACTGTCCTACTAACCTGTATTGAAACTATCAAAAACAAATTGCTATTTGTTTCTCAATAAAATTAATAATAAAAAAAGATTAGCTCTTCTCTAATTCAGTTTGGATGGTACGTCTTCACAAAGAGTTGATCAGTGCCTTCAGAAAAGCCTAACCCTTCTTGTCTTTTATCATTGGATTTTTGTCTTATATTTTCATCCCTAATTAAATGTATCTCACTTATCAATATTTTTTCTTTTCCATGACAACATTCAGCATGTTACTTATACTACTTTTACATTAATTACATGTTTTATTGTGCAATATTTGATATTTTTATTGATCTGTTTCATTCTTTTTAATGACTGTAGAGCTTATTGTCATCATAGTTGACTTGACATTGATATTAACATTAGATATATTTTTGTAATCTGAACAACTTCTTTTAAGATAATAATATGCAATGTGCTAACCATTGTTACTCTCTTACAAACTTGTTTTGAAATTTTATACAATTATTTTTATTGTTTTTCTTTTTCTTTAAAATAAAAAAGCACTGAAGATTATAGATAGATATAGAATGTCTTTCTATGAGTCTAACAAAAGCCACAAACGATGTTAGCAAGTGAAGTGAACAGCGCTCGTACACAAATTCACACATGTGAACGGCACTCCTATGTGAACTCATAAACCACATGCACCTTCCTTCTGCAACCATGCCCCATATTTCATCTATTTATTTACAAACTAAAAAGGCACTATTTGGCTGGCCAAATAGCTCAGTAGATTAAAGCGCCTGCCTAGGCACACCCAGGAGCCAGGAGTTCGATATCTGGGCCTGCCATGCCAGGCCCACCCATGGGGTGCACTGAGATGGCCATTGAGACTGAGAGTGGTGGTGCGCGCCTGAAATCCCAGCACTTGGGAGGCTGTAAACAGGAGGATCACTACAAGTCCAGTCTA